TTAGATGAAACTTGGTACACTGATGTAACAAGAACGAAATACGCACTTGCCCGGACACTTCCTTCAATTTGCTTTAATTCAAAAAAGCTATCTGTTCCTTCACGAAGGATGCAAGTAAAGGGAGAAAACCAATAGAATCATTACACTTGACACAATGGAAATTACAGAAAGTTTGATAATTTGCTAGCCTGATACATGGTTGAGTAGACTGCCTTGGCCTATAATAAAAGCACTGCCTAAAACCCCAAAAGACTCTAACTGAAAACCTACCGACTTTCCGTATACTTATTCTTCATCCGTACATTAACTAAACAAGTCATAGTTTCAAAGACAGAAACTGGAAAAAGTTCATGTATTCTCATCATTACCCATAATTATGTGAATGTTTCTACGATCAACTAATCAATGTCACTACTCGCGTGGTTTTCGGGAAAAGAGTGACATCACCGGACGGCATTAACGGCTCGTTGATTCAGACGTCTTTGTCGGGTGTTTGTGAATAGAGGAGACGGCTGAAGACTAAAATTAAGGCTAATGTAACAGATGACGGGAGCACATTTGCACAACTTCGGAGTCAAAAGCTGTCTGCTGTTAACATGAATAACTCATGATAGGGAGCATTAGTGTTTATCTCTACCTTTTGGCGCAAGCAAATAAACCTTATCAAGACCAATGGACACCTGTAGATGGTTTTCACAGTGGCGTCACCAAATTTAAAGTCATAATAGCGAGGAATTCCTAGTTACACTAAGTAAATCTTTGTACAAGCTTCCATTCCCGTAGCATGTTTCATTTCGAAAATACAGCAATTTGAACGTTCTAGTGTTAACAGTGCGTGACACCAAAATAGGAATGCTGTCTCGTTGAAAAAGTCTCTCCTCTTGATTTTCAGCAGTATAACCATTTCGAGTATTAGAAGATATGTTTATGCGTACGTATGCTAGTTATCTAATGAAAAGAAACAGCTTTTATAGAAAAAGTAAACTCCAGATGTTTTTGTTGATTTCCGGCGGCCATATTGCTGCACCAAAACGGTACACAAATATGGCGACTCTATACAAAGCTCTACAAAGGTGCGCGCTGAAACGTTTTGACAAATAACTCAGAAACTGTTGGCCCCAAAGACCTGAGCCTTAGAAAAATTGTTTATAGATTAGTCTTTTATAACATTTCATTTTCTTGGCTTCTTCCACTGGACGGTTTCTATTTTTTTTTTGTTGCGTGACAGTGAAAACGACGATCTATGGGTTAAAAAACTCTTACCCCAGCCATGAAATCCAAAAAAAGATAAATGACGTCTCCCTTTTGTTCACTTCCATGAAAACGCACAATTCTCGGATGTCTTAGCCTACTCAACTTGTCAATTTCATTTTGAAGTTGCTTAACCTCCTGAAAGAAATAGTAGTATACCCCGTTATTGAATAAGACAGCCCTAAAGAGTGCATTTCTTTTGATGATCCTTCGTGGGCTATTATATAACTCAACTGTCCTATATCCCTGCTCTGTGAGTCCCAACAACTGCGTATCAAGTGACGTCCGCATTCGCCTTTCCTAAAAGCCAATGCCACGTAAGAGTCACTTGCCTGTCACAAGAAGAAATCTTTCCAAAATTATCAAAGTGTCGTCATCGTCATTGGAACTGATCATTGAATTACCATGATTACGACTGTAATGTGTTTTTCGACCCAACCCTTAAAAAGATACACAGAATTAGTAAAGAGAATGCGATGACAGATAAGAAGAACGCACAAAAGCGTGAACCTGACTGATCATGTCGGTTTTGAGATCTGAGCGTTGTCGTCTCCGTTGTCACCTTTTCTTTGCTACATCTGCCTATTGTCTCAGCAGAATGACGGACATCATTCAGTCGTGGCTACTTCTAGCAAGACCCACTATTAAAAGATGCCTGTAAAGTTTGACGTCAGTTCTAGGGGACAATAAATTTTCCAGTTTGACAAGCCACTATACTTGACAGCAATTTTAAGAGGAGACATTTTTGTTGCCAGGTATAATACCACATAATAATTAAGAATCGTAATCTTTGTGAAATGACTAACCTCTGGCATTTTTGAATACTGAGGCTCCATTTTAACTTGTTTCATTGCCACCTTGATTCCAGACTCACGATGGGTCAAACTGAACACCTATGGGGTATCCAAGGGAAAGATACATGTGCACTATTCACTGAAATGGGGAGCAGATAAAATTTCCAGAAACGTCAAGCAATTTTTCTGGAAGGAAGGGAGCGATGGATGGATGGATGGATGGTTGGATTGTTGGTTGGATGGATGGATGGAAGGATAGCCGGCTTAAAAAACAAACATAAAGAAAACAGGGTTTTTGACAGGATTTTCAGAAACTTCAGACACGCTTTTTAGCTTGTTCTCTTGTCATGAATGAACACTTTTGTTTTTGAACATGTTTCATTAAAATTTTATTCATGTTTTGATTGCCAGTCAAGAATTTCAAGTTTTGACATACGTGTCCCGTAAACCCTCCGAATATCGGTGTGGCACTCAAGTTAAGCCCTGTCGGTCGGGGGGTTAAGAACTGGTTGGGTGACCATTCGCTATTATCCCGTCATGAGGACTCTTAAAGGAATTATTGTTTTTTTCTACCGACAGACTCGTAGCTCAACTTAAAAAAATATATGTACATTTGCGAAAGCAAGATACTAGGATACGAAAGAGTGGCCGGAGTTTCGTTTTGAAGTGTTTTTTTTTTTTTTTGGGGGGGGGGGGGGGGGGGGGGGCTCTTAAAGATACCTGTATGTGTATCAAAAACGTTAGCAAAAAAGGTATTCATTTAATGACTTTACAAAAAAAGTTTCTACTACCATAAAAAAAGTATGGTTACCCTACCCATTGGGTTGATATTAAATTTTTAAGTCAGCGGCCAAGAGTTATTACATATATGGTGTTTTTGTTGTATGTATTTGTGTTTCATGTAGCGTATATACTTTAACACTATTGATTATGATATTGTATGTGTGGTAGTTTTTTTTTTGTTTTTATGGGGTTTTGTGTGTTTTTGTGTTTTTTTGTTTTTTTGTTTGGGGGGGGGGGAATGGAGAGGGGTGGCGCTCTTAAAGATACATGTATGTGTATCAAAAACGTTAGCAAAGAAGGTATTCATTTAATGACTTTACAAAGAAAGTTTCTACTACCATAAAGAGAGTATGGTTACCCTACACATTGGGTTGATATTACATTTTTAAGTCAGCGTCCACTCTGAGTCTCTCCCACCCCCAAAATGGGAAACACACAAATAAGTACACCCGTAATTCAACTCAAAGTGTAAACTAAAATATACCTTTAAAATTATATACATGTATATTTATTACCTTTCCAAAGTTTCCTCCACCAAGGTACTTTCCTTTTATCCAAATATTACGGTCTCTCCTTTCTAAACGTAAAAAGACTTGAATTACGGTCAGTTTCGACTGGTCGATACTAGTCACACGTTCTTTTAAAGCTACTTTCCAAATCCTGAAAAGTTAAGGTGATGTTTTTCAGAGAAAAAAGTCCTAAAAAGGTCTAGTTTCTTTACAACGACAACATAATAGAAAAGGTGATAGTAGCAATACCCTAAAAGAAACCTCCTCTTGCTTGTAAATTAGATTTTTTTTTTCAAAATGGTTATCTTTATTTTCTGAAAACTGTAACAAGCCCGGAGTCTTATAAGCACAACTGCAGAGACTTTGCAAACTTGTATTGGCAGAAGCTGCATGAAGTTGCTAAAATACCAAAAAGGGTTGATTCCAATGTAAAAAGCGGTGGGGACTGGGATGCTTGTTGATTAAATAATAATAATTCAACCATGTGGCCATGGCTCAAAAGCTTTATTCATCTCCCAAAACGTTGCATTTTACAACACACCGGCAAGTAAGTACATGCTGAGGAAATCACATGATAATAAAGATTTAAAAAAAAAATGAATTGTGACAAATTTGGAAGATGTCATATTTATTTTTTATATAAATAAGAGGCATAGTCTAGCATGGCAAGGCTTTCAAAATTTTATTTCCTAGTGGTTCAATACCCTGTTCGGAAGAAAATGGACGAAAATATCCTGAAACTAAAAAAAGAACAAAAGAGGACAAAATAAACTCATAAAAGCAAAGACATTTAAGAAAACGTGCATAGAAATTAGTTAAGGTCAGTAACTAAAAACACTTTAATTTTCTTGTGTTAACCCTATTCAGACCCGGTCGTTTGTTTTTGGTGTTTATGTCCTTTCCATAGTGGCGTAGTCCTAAATATTACGTAGTAAGTAATATCATTTAGGAACAAAGTTAGCCTGCAAGCAAGCTCGATCTCCTTGACGCTTTGGTGGCAGGGCGAGAAAAGAAAGGAGAACTTGCAACTACGTCCCTGGACTTTTAATTCCACCTCCGATTCCCCGTCGACTGAGCTGTCAGATTTCCGCCCATCAACGCGAAGCACAAACGAGCGAGAATGTAAACAAACGTCGAAAACATGTGCCAAGGGTTATGACGTCATTACTAATGTAATCTCCTCCAATCAGAATTTCGCATCGACTTTTTCGATACAGATACTCAAATTCCATTGACGTAGTTGCAAGGTCTCCTTCCTTCTCCCGCCCCGCCACCAGAGCGCTCCGGAGAACATTCTCGAAGGCTAGGACAAAGTCAAAGGAGAAAAGGCATTACTATAGCTCTCAGTTACTAAGCGCACTGTGTTCTTCTCATAGCCCTGATGTCAATTTTTTAGCATTTTACTAGTTCCTAAAATTTCCTGGTCGTTTCCTATTCTCCTCTTCTTCTTATTCAATTTTTTCTTCGGTTCAACCATTAACACTTACAGTTCTACAGTTCCCTTCTTCTCCCTCTGTATTGTTAGTTCAGTGGAACCATGAACACTTTCGTCAATATTATGTCAAATTTTCTGACGATCGAAGTCCGTATTTTTCTTTATGAAATAGCTAACTCCCTGAGAATTGCATTTTTTTAGGCTTATGTTTCCAGTTAGGAATAAAAAAGACTATTACTCACGTTACTAAGCAAGGGAAGAGATAACCTCGATTTTGCGAGAAATTCTACTTCTGAGGTACCAGAAGAACCTCACCCACCTAAAAACACTCCCCAGTGGTGCAGATGTGGGGTTTGCAGACCAGTGCCAGACGAGCACGAAGATTTGTGTTGGAAAAGAGGGACTTTCTTGAGATCATATAGGATATTTTCAACTATATCCCTCTTAGAAGTATGTATAAAAGCTGAAGCGATATTCAGGCTAAAGAGATCAGCTTTTGACCTTTCTGTATGCAGAGTTTTAGAAAAGCCGCATATCGCCAGTTTGCCCTTTGAAGACATGGTAAATTAGGAAGGGGTAACAGGAGTGTAATGCCGTCCTGTGTAGTACTCCAAATCAGACACACTTATTGATTTGAACTTTCAACCCTCTTGTTTATTTTTTGAATATTTAATTTCCTTAGCGCCCACACCTCGACTTTGCGTGACGCAAATAAAAAAATAGAACACGTGATGGACGCCACGATTCGATTTCCTTTCGTCAAGTCAGCGCAAAATAAATTCCAAGTGCGTGAAACTCTGGTAGTGATTAATCTTCAAGCAAAAGTAGCCCGTTCACATAATGAAGCGAATCACTTACCATGCTCTAATATATAGATTTAGCCACAGCTAAAAGCGAAGCTCCCATTAATAAATTTATAACTTAAATCAAACAATAATTTTGTATTCCTCAAATCAGTTAACTTAAAGGGACAGTGTCCCGATTATGCGCACGCGCGAGCGTCATCTGTTTTTTCTTCAAAGTACAATAGAACTGTCAAATTGACTCGACAAGATTTCCTACCGGACCGCACCGCCGACAGAGATTTGTTGTTTATATTCTCAAGTAATATTTTACACTTTCGAAGAAGTCTTTCGTCTTATATAAAAATTTGGCTCGCGGTTCGAAGACTTATCGCGATTTTATCGCTAGCTGGGCCGCCTCGCGACCCGAAAATCTCGTTCCGCTCGCTTTAAAAACATATTTTCTAATTTGAAACTCGTGTCAGAGGTCAATCGCTCCAAGTCCAGTAATATCTGCCTGATTTGCTCGCGTTCTAGCCTCAAACGTTTGAAAGACATACATGTGACCTTTGAGGGAAAAGCCAAGTTATTTTGGAGTGAAAAAAATCTTGTATCGAGTTAATATAGCCTTATTTGTACACCAAAAAAATAGTCTTCGGTCACATTTAAGAGCAATAATGGCTCTTGATCACAGTAGATAAGGCGTGGAAAACAAATTCTTGGAAAACAAATCAGGCCGAATTGTTTGCGTTCGACAAGCGTACAAATTCTTGCCAATAAATCTGGGTGCGTGCAAACCATTCTTTTATTTTTTTTTAAACACCACATCTGAGGAGAAAGAGTACTATGAGGCGCTGTTTTTATCATGCAGACCTCGTACAAAATGCAGTATTTCACAATTTTTCAAGAAAAATTGCATTCATTCAATGCTCAGGACCATCGAAGCACGCGTGGACTTTTAATTAGCGAAAACGTTCAAAAAATGTCCAAAATCACCTATACGGCCAGCCGGTTCTAACTTTTGACAAGCGCCAAATTTGCCAAGAAATTTTAAAAGAGTCACGCTTCAACGTGATAAAGAATTTATTGAGTCTATTTTTTATTAACGGTTTTATAACCATGTGTAATCTTAAAAAGCGTTTGATACGCTTGGCATTTTGAGTAATCCTACAAGCGATGTTTATGAACACCTGAAAACAAACGGCAAAGCGATGAAAATTACACTTTTGAGACTACCGACAATCAATAAAGAAATATAATTCGGTAGAACATTTACAGAGACAACAATTTTCATTCACGAAAACAAATGAGTATTTAGGTGTCTCTAAGAATCCTCAAGTCTTCACTAGTAAGCTTAAAGATTAAGGTTATGTTTTAAGCCGCCGGTTTCCCGGTGTTTCCTTTTTTCAAAGATGAACTCACGACAAGAAAATCGCTCAAAGCTTTCTTTCTACAGCCAAGTACAGCCAAAATTATAACTAAATATTCTTCGGAAATTTTTTCGTTCTATTTACGGTGAATTAATATCGACTAAAGGCTTTTTAAAGTTCTGTAAGCTTAAGCTTATATCAAACCTCATACTAGGTCAGATCAGTGTCTCAGTCAAATCTTAATACAAACGTGCATAAACTAGCTTCATAAACTGTGCCACTGGACTTCATGAAATTAGATATAAATACAATAATTACTCAGGCTTACCATATTTTGAGATGCAGCTCCTGAAAGCTAGCAAGAAAGGCAAGGATCGCTTGAGCCTTTATAATTCTCGTACGCATCCAGCAAGGTGAAAAACAAAAACGATGCCAACCGAAATCGGATTATCGGCTTTGACAAGCGACGCATTCTCAACCAAAAACCCAATAAGCAAACCAGCCATGAATAAGAGAACACTCTTGATAGCAGCTGTATTTCATTTTTTACATCCAGTGGAAAAAGACAGTTAAAAACATCACAAGTTGACTCAAAACTCTGTCAGCTTCAGCTGTCAAAGTAAACAACTTTCAAGATGCTGCATAAATTTTACGCATGAACTCACCTGTCAAATTTTAACCAATCAGAGCATAAAAATTGGACGTGGAGCGTGACCAACACATGACCATGGTTAGAAAAGGTCTTCCCCGCCTGTATTTTAAAAAAACTGGCTGAATTTTTGCGTCTGCGGTCAGTTTGAAATCAAAATCGTTATAGTGCTGGGCGATACTGACATAAACACAACATATTTGATGTGAATTAAAAATTAAAAAAAGTAAGCGTGAGCCTGCGATCATTTCAAAACGAGTAAATTTTCAGCGGATAACTTCAAAAAAATACTCGACCTTGATGGGTCGACACCTGAGCCCGCGATACGGTCAGGTGATACTGGTCAGCGGATACCCTGTTTTGACAGCTGTCAATTGATGACGACGTTGATGCCCATTGATGTGCAATCAGCTTTCTCCTGGGCTCCCAAAGTAGCTAGAAAGTGTGAGAGTAAACATTGGTATGCCTGTGGTGCGGACGGACGGTCGGGCGGGCGGTCGGTGTACGGTCACGTGATTACCAAATTTTCTCGGATGGGTAGTTTACCACATTTTGTTACCCATGGTGCTCCGCTGCGCGCTTCGCGCGCGAGAGCTCCGCTAAAAAACGGCGGGATGGGGGTTCAGGTGACTCCATTAAACGTTCTGAAAGTAAAAAAAAAAAACAATAAAAACTATAGACAGACCATTCATAAACAGACCTCAGCATAACCAACAATTTCAATTTCAAAAATAAAACAAACAATAACTGAAGATTTCATTTTTAGCCATTTCCATGCTAACTACTGTACTGGCGGAAAACCGATCCAAAAAGGAGATGTTGGAAAGAAAATGCGTTTTTTTTTTCATGACCTAAATTCCGTATTTAAAGGGTTAAATATATGCTTCACTGTAACTCTACTGAACAACAAAGAAGTGAAAACGCTCGGAGATTATCACCGTACTGAATGTCCAGTATGGGTGTTTAGGATGCGCCTCTCAGCATATGAGGTTTCACAGTTGTCTTCTGAGTTTTTTGGTTCAAATGTGAGATATGTTCAGGTTGATGAGTCCCAGTATGAAACACTACTAGTTAAAGAGGTACTTTCCCTTCTATTGCTCTGCGAGAAGTCTCTTCTGTGCGAGAACTTGCCAAATGTATACTTCCCCTGACCAAAGGAACGGAAAATTTTGTCGTGATAATGACCTTCAACCACCTATCACTCGCCATGCTCTAGACCCAATTATTAATGCTTTGTCTTTGAGCAAGTCACGTAAGGGGTTCAAAAATTGAATCCTGCGTCGATGTGTTTGCTGTTCTGCGTCTGCCCCGGAGTTTTTCTAATACATTGCGTCGTGCGTGACATTTTTGGCTCACGTTTGGGGCATGCGATCGTTTGACATTTGAACTAGGCTTTTGCTACATAATTCCGGGGGGGCGGGCTCAGGTTGTCGCCCAACCTCATGGTTCTGGTGGTTTCGGAGTAGTGTCTGTCCAGTTTAAGGTTTGGGCTCTCCATGTCCAGTAGGTTAGACGTTTTGTTACCTCTTTTTCATGCTGGATGCAATTCTTGTTCTATTATTGCCGCAATCCCTTCGGTTCTTTGCCAGGTGTGGTTCTCTCACGTCGTTACCTTTATGACCTATCGTTTTTCCCTCCGTTTTATCGCGGCCTTCTCTCCGCATGGCTCGCTGCCGAGGGTTCCTTCTCGGCCACTCGGGAGTGTTTAGTCGTGGGTTCTTTCTCCGGTGAGTCTCCTATTGCGGTTGCCGAAGCTACAACCAAGTCGGTGTACTCTCTTCTTGTAGCCAACCACTCCCAATTGTGTTCGTCATTTCGCCCCTGTTTTGGGGGCTTTGTACTAGCATTCTACATGGGACCAGCTGTTTCGGTTCCCTCTCGACCGCCCTGTGATTGATCTGGCATGGCTGATCTGGCATGGAGTTCTCATGCCGTCTGTCGTGCTTGTCCAGTAACGTTCTTGTGTAACGGGTGGCGGGGCTCATTACCCCGGTGACTTTTGGTGTGCTTGTGCACCCATCCTGAGGCATGTTAACCTGTAATGTGTAGTATGGTGTCGTACAGTGCTGTGTCTGTGTTCTTTGTTGTTAAATCGGTGACTTGGCATTGCACTCTGCCATGTATTCCCGCCTCGAAACAAAAAAAAATACAGGGGTTTTCCTCGTCCACTGACCGACGGCTATGCCATGCTGATGAGCCCCAGTAAGGTCGAAACAGGTGTCCATGGCTGCCACCACCCGCGTGATATGGCTGTGCTCATGCGTGAGGTAATGGCCAGGCCGTGGGTTGGTGTATGTGTGCCCCGTGCTTTTACTGGTAACTCGTGATCCACCTTCCCCGCGCATGTCGTGGTAGAACTGCTGTGCGGTTCCCAGCCAACAGCTCCCACATGTGTTGTGTGGAGCTGGCGCTTAATAGACCGCTTTGCACACACCTCGGCAATATGGGGTTTTCCTCTTCCCTGTTCATTAACCCAACAGCTTTGACATGTTGGTGGGACCCAACAAGGGCGAAACAGCTGTCTGTGGCTGTCACTGGTCGCGTGATATGGCTGTGCACATGCGTGACGTACTGGTCTAGCCGTGGGTTGGTGTATGTGTGCCCCTTGCGTTACGTTTGCACTATTTCAATGCAATCGAATTAAGTTAGATCTATTTTTCATTAATTACTGTATTTCGTGACATTTCTGAACAAATTTAACAGCGCGCGCGTATAGCTAACATCTTTGCTTGTTGGCACTTAGCGATAGCTATAANTGCTTTTACTGGT